TTTGCAGGGAAAAAGGCAGGCTTGTCTCAGTACATATTGCCCTCAATTTAATGATCTCAACTCTCACATTATAAGAAATATTATTGAAAAAACTTTAAGTTTCAAGTTAATCTTGTTGAGTGTAAAGAATTTTAAGAAATTTTGTAATCTGTGTTACTGTTTTTAGCTTCTACTGTTTTCGAATAACGTGAACACTTCACAAGATCATTTTCGATCTAATGTATTGGGTAAGGTCGAAATTGTTTTTACCGCAATAATAAAACAGTCTGAAATATCTCAGGCAATTGCTAAACTTAAACATAATAAGTCCCCTGGTTTAGATGATATTTCCAATAGTATGTTAAAATGTGGACAGCATGTTTTACTATTCAGTCTAGTTAAATTATTCAATATGGTTTTGTCCAGCGGGAGATATCCCAAAGCATGGTCATGTGGATATATATCCACAATTCATAAAGGTGGTGATAAGAATGATCCAAATAACTATAGAGGGATTACTGTAACAGGTGTAATAGGAAAAAAATTTAATAGTGTTTTGAATAGTAGACTAGACAAGTTTCTTGTGGAAAACAAAATTATTGATGATTGTCAGATAGGATTTACCAAGAAAGCTAGAACATGTGATCATATGTTTATTCTAAAATGTATTTTTGATAAATATTGCAATGAAAAGAATGGGAAACTTTATGCATGTTTTGTAGACTTTCATAAGGTATTTGATACTGTTATACATACTGGGATTAAAATTAAACTTCTTCAAATAGAAGTTGGACAGAAGTTTTACAATATTGTCAAAGAAATGTATCAAAGAAGTATTTCATGTATAAAAATCCATAATCGAATCACTGATTTTTTTCAAATCCAGCAAGGTGTTAAGCAAGGGGATAACTTAAGTCCAAACCTACCGGTATTTAAAATATTTGTAAATGATTTGCCAAAATACATGGATACCTCTTTAGATTCTGTTACTCTTAATGATCACATAATTCACTGTTTAATGTATGCCGATGATTTAATCTTGCTATCAAGTACTTCCAATGGATTGCAATCAAAACTTGATTTATTGGAAAATATTGTAATGACTGGTGTCTTAGTGTTAACTTATCCAAGACAAAAATTATGATTTTTAACAGAGCTGGAAAAAAAAAATATCAGAAATTTTTTCTTTTCAAAATAAGCTGATTGAATGTGTTCAACAATACAAATATCTTGGTATTTACTTTTGTAACTCAGGTTCTTTTACCTTTGCTCAAAATGAACTTTATAAAAAGGCCTTGAAAGCATGTTCAAAATTACAGAGAGAAATTATGTCCAATTGTCATAATGTCAATATTAGTCTTCATTTATTTGATCATACCATTGCTCCAATTCTTCTGTATGGTTGTGAAATTTGGGGGACTTTTAACCCCTTTGCTTCCAAATTTAAAAACAAAGATATTACAATGGACAAAATGTTTAACAAATTAAAATGTGAAACAATGCACATTAAATACTGCAAGGCTATTCTTGGTGTGCATAGAAAGTCAACTAACTTTGCAGTTCTATCTGAGCTAGGTAGATTTCCACTGTATTATAGAATTATTAAAGCTATGCTAAGTTATTGGTTTCGACTTGAAACATTACATCCATCTTTTGTCCTACTCAAGGAAGCGTATTCAGTCTCAAAAAGCCTCTTTCTACACAATAAACCATCATGGTTTGCATCCATCCAGACAATTTTGAGTCAGTTATCTGATTTAAAAAATATCGACTTATCAAAACAAAGCATTTATTCATTTAAAAAGAAGTCATCATGTATTATAAGACAGTATTTTATAAACCTATGGTATAAAGAAAATAAAGAGCAAAATAATGGCAAACTAAGAACTTATTCCACTTTCAAAAACAACTTTGGAAGAGAACACTATCTCAACATTATCAATAACTATGATCAGAGGAAAAATGTAACTAAACTACGCATTTCTGCACATCAATTAAATATTGAAAGGGGAAGATATGCAGGACTTCCCCCTGAATCTAGAAAGTGTTCTCAATGTAATACGCAGAAGGTTGAAGATGAACAGCATTTTTTGCTTATATGTCCAAAATATAAGAATGAAAGGTTGCAATTAATGGAAACAATTTCAAAAATCAACCCAAATTTCTCTTCTTTGACACCTGCTGAAAAACTTGTATGGATTTTGAATAATGAAAATAAAGAAATTTTATGCTTACTTGGAAAATTTATTTCTGAAAATGGTAAAAGAACCAATGTATAAATACATCTGTCACCATGTACATGCATGCCTTTTCTCCATTTTTACTTTATTGTATTTTTTTCCCCCTGAAATATATTACAATTTTAAAGGAAAAAAACCCATACAAATGTATAAATACATGTATGAACATGTTGTAGCATAACATATTTGTATTGTCTTGGGATCATGACAATAATTTGGACACTTGACACTGGTATTGTCTATGATTATTAACGCTGAATACAATGTTATATAACTGTTTATGTAACTGTTTATATATTTATTTATTTATATAAAAACAGTGCATATCGTGAATTATGTTTAAATTGTGCATTTATATATGTGGAAATGCCTCTCGGGGCCCTTGATTGGTAAATAAAATATCTTGTATCTTGTACTACCATGCAACACAGCACTAAGTATACTCGTATATTATATTTTGTATATTTATTGAAATATTTACATCTTGAGCAAAACAGATACATAGAGAATATTCAATGTTTTGTAGATGAATATGAAATTTATTTCACGAGTGGGACAGGATTTTTTGATATTTTCACGAGTGCGAATCTGTCAGGATGGCTCATTAACTCTATCTTAGAACAGGCCAGGGATTCGTGAAGGGAAGGAAAATCGTAAGTTTTGCCGCACTTCTGATATTCTCACACTGTGAGAATACCATTTTGATATCCTTTCACACTGTGTCAGAATATTACTTTTATTCAGTAAATAAATTACATTATTTCACTTTTGAAAATGTAATAAAATGTACTGGTGTGAAATGTACTTACGGACTACAATACTTGCCCTGACGGAGGAGGTTACATGTAGGTGCATCAGAGACATATTATATATATATGGAAAGTACCCTACGGCTTTCCATAAGTATAGTATGGAAACGTGATAATTGTAATATTTGCGGGGAAATATAATAATGTTGTTAAAAAAAAAAAAAAAAAAAGCAAAGATTTTTTTTTTATTTTATTTTTTTTTATTTATTTTTTTTATTATTATTATTATTTTTTTTTATTAATTTGTGGTACAATTATAAAAATATAGGAATAATAATAATGTGGAGGTACCCAAATTATTATTGTTGCAGAAAAATAATAATGTTGTAAAAAAGCAAGATTTTTATTTTTGTATGAGATCATTATTTTTGGTATAGTTATATAGGAAAAAATAATAATAATAATGTGGGGGTACCCTACGGCTTTCCATATATATATGTATGTTTTTTAATGTTTCTGGGTGCACACTGTCATTAGAAGGCGACGAAATGTTTTGTCACATATTACCTTAGTTCATAGGCTTAATCACACTAACAAATTTAGGTACAATTTGAAAAATGGACACCTCCAAACACGTTGTTTTTTATAGGACACCATGATTTGTTAAATCTATTTTACGAGGTAAGAATTTTATACCTGTAAGATATAGAGTTACATTTGTCAAACTGTTACAGGGATTTTTAAACTTTGGATTGTTCGTTGTTAAATTCTCCTTTGAAATATCGACTCATGAATTTTGTTGGTTCATTATTACAGTGTCAATAATGACTAGTAATCCACAAAATTCTTATAAAAGATGAACTTTCATCTATGAAATATACCACTGACCCACTAAAATTTCTTTATCACCTAAAACCATGGCGATATAATATCGCATATTACATACATATACCCAACACTGAATTGAACTATAGAATTTTTCTTACACTTTTCAAAAAAAAAAAAAATTTAAGGTGGCATTTATTACCATCAGCATTGCAAAATAATTTTTGATAGATCTGATAAATACTGCATGATCATTTTACACATTGGAGGAATTGGAGCTTTCTCCACTCCTCAGTGCCTCAAGATCAATCAATTCCAAAGCATCTACACGACAATAATAAAAAGTATTAATTTGTTTTTCATTTTTATTTAGCTCTTTTCAAAACACAAGCTAACAGAAAAGATGTACAAAATAAATAGTATCACAGGCGGCTTCTCATACATCTACTTCACAGAATTGACTGGGGGTGTACAAGAAATTTCAAGGACAAAAAAAAATTGCATCAATAAATATTCTGACATTATAGTTTTACTGTGTTTCCTGGTTGTTTTGATATCTATAATTGAACAGAAGGCTGAATTACCAAATTTAATTTCATTGAATTAATACAAGAGTTCAGATGGTTGTTGACAAAGCATCAAGACATTTTGTAAGTCACTGTAAATCTAGTGAATGTTTTGATACTTTTATTCCAAAACCATTAAGGACAACATAATTTTCAATTAACTTAATTAGTTTTGTCATATCTATACTTAACAAAATAAAATGCATGAACATGGTAGGGACATCATGATCATCACCATTGTAGTTTTGGAACAGTGCAAAAAAAAAAAATAAGAAGAAGAAAGAAAGAATTAAAAAAAAAAACAAGAAAAAAAAAAAATTATAAAAAAAATCAAGGGTGAAAACAACCCACATTCACATGAAGATCAAGAAATTCAGATATCTTGATCAATGTTTAACAAATATATTTTGGTTTTTCCATTTCATATATGATTAAATTACACTCCAAAAGAACAATGAAAACTTAAATTGTAGCACATTTTCCCTATTTTTCTTAAATTTTGTAATTTGGAAGACCATATAGGTTTTTTCTTTCACCTGAAATTTTCATGTATCTGACATATAAACATGCAGATGAAATACTGGTTAATAATAAATTAAATAACTTAATAAAATTTCAAAGAAAATTGATACATGCAATTTAATTTGTATAAAGAAAAAAATTAAATTAATAAATTAGTGAAATATATTAATTAATGATTTACCCGATGTTTATACTGACTAGTAATTCTTCACTGAAATTGTATGAAAATGGACACAAAATGGACAAATTGACTTAAAGATTGGAATGGAAAAAGAAAAATGACCCAACAATCAGGCGGGGAGGAATGATTGGATGACAATAAAGCTTAGTGTCCACTGATTGTAGGTCAACTATAAAGCACTGTCCATTTATACTTCTGTGGCGTGACCCTGCTGGATAGCAGCCAACAAATTACTCTTCATCCTGACATAGAGCCGACCTTTAGTCCAGGGATTTTGAAGTTGAAGGGGCTGATAGTCGTCCCTCAGAATTCTCTCCCGAGCACCGATTACTGCCACCAGACAAAACTCCTCCAACTGATCCTCCCCATATAGAGGTTCTGAGTGTCCTTTCTGAGTCAAGGTTTTATTTAGCTGTCTTACCACTAGATTTATCACTTCTCTAGATGTTGTTTTCTCAGTCACATGTAACCTTACCCTGGTGCCTCGAGACAACCCCGTCTCGTAGGCAGCGTACACTTGTAAAATACCCGAGCTTACTGCACTAGGCTCACTCTCAGCTGTCTCCTTTTTAACGTGTCCATTTGTCTTTGGCACCTCCTCGTTTGGATCATAGAATTTGGCAATTTTTATGTTGTCTTTTCCAACACTGATTTCATTTGAATCACAAGCCACAGAAGGACAGCCAGACTGTGAGTTGTTATTATCAAACAGATCGACTTGGCTAGGACTTTCTAGCTCAGTACTGAACACATCTTTGGGTGGTGAAGTAACTTCACTCATCAGAATGCCTCCTCTCATACTCTTGTCTCTTGCATAAGTAATAATGTCCATTATCCATCGAGTGGACTTCCAGCTCTTGTCCAGTGTGGTCATTATGTTGGACAATTTCTCCACTCTCTCTCTTGCTGGTGTGAGCTCCTCTGTTGAAAAGGCCTAATAACACAAAATTTTATGATGAAAATTTAAATAATAGATAAAAACTGAAAGTATGATTTACTTCAACTTAAAATTAGTAGCAAGTCATTTTTCCATTTGTCCTAAGACTGAGAAGCCTCACCTCACGCTGAACTTGTTGGGCAAGACAGAGATCCATATCCAGTATTGAGGAAAGTCTTGAGTATCTGTTGATGAGCTGTGGCTGGTATGTACACATGTGGACTGTAAGGAAATATCTTACTTTGTCAGTTTTAAAATCAGCAAAATGAATTTAATTAAAAAGACTTGCATTTTAAAGTCCTAGATCAATGAGGCAAAGCTTTGCACTTGTCAAAAAAGCATTGCTTGATAAACTTCTTCAAAAGTAGCATTACAAGATTCATAAATTAATCCTACATGGAAAAAAAGTACATCTACAGTAAAATACCCATTAATAATGAACTGAGATATAGTGTTTAAGCACTGAGAATTGAATTTAGTAGCATTCAAAAATTCTGCATAATTTTTTACTACCAGATTAAACTGAAATTATAATTCCTCGGAAGTACATGTGTATGTTTATAGTAATTTTATTTGCAAAACTCAATACTCACTCATTTCAAAGACCTGGACTGGGAGCAGAGTGAGATCCTTTTTCTCTGTCATGCTGTCATTTTGTCCAGGAACCAGACAAACCTCCTCCACTGGGGGGAGAATCAGGAGGAACGACACATCATTACTGAATTCTATCACCTCCACATCGTAGATTCTGTGACTAGCAGCGAAATTCTCTGATATGTCTGCAACACAAAATTTCATCTCAATAAAAAATTTTAATATGACTTAATATGGCTGTTGAAGCTTTAAATAATGTCGGAGTAACAAATCCATAAATTAAGGATAATTTGCCTTGCAAAATAAGATTGTCCATTAACTCTTTTTTTTAATGATTGTTATGACATTTTCAAGTAGTTTCTGTTTCACAATTAATCCATAACAAAACATGATAAATATTTTACATAACTCTGTCAACATGTTTACCAACAGAACATACCTAGAATGTTGAAGAGTTTCTGGGCAGCCTGTTTGAGCTGTTTACGGAATTCCTCCTGTGTCTGGGTAGGTGGAGCCACTTGTTGGTCGGTATTCAGTGACTGAAGCCATTGCCACTCCTCCCTGTAACACATACGTACTTAAGAGTTACACATTTCCTCGTTATTCTCTAAGTGGTGCACTAATGTTAATATCATTTTTGACATAATATTAATTGCTCAAGATGTCAGCTTCAAAAAGCTAGTAATTATCTTGAACTCTCAAAACTCTGAAATTCAAATTGTAAACAGCTGAATGAAGAACACAGAAAAATGCTAAATGATCATTCCATTCAGAAAAACACTCATTTTTCAAGGTCAAGCCTTACCTGGAAACATTGGAGCAATCTCTCACTTTGATGTTGGGGAGGATGTTTGGTGCCTTCTTGGGTACCAACACCCTGTTAAGTTCTAAAGAAGCTTGAAGTTTGAGGTAGCCGAGGTATAAGCCTTTTGCAAGACGAATGTTGCTCACTTGATGATACAGAATCATCTCCTGTTGAAAGTATGTATGTTTTAATTTAGAAAACTGCTCAAAGTCCAAGTGGGTATCCATTTCTTACATTCACAAAAAATAATTCTAACTTTAATTCAAACATTTAATTTGCCAGCACACTGGTTACTATAAATACCTACATTAAAAATTTTTTTGCCTTTACTGCACTGTAACTATCCCTATACATTGCACATCACAATGGGTATATTTTGCAAAGCTGTATAACTGTCAAACTAGAGGTATATCAATACTCACGGAAACAGAACTGACTAGGACTTCTAGGGACTCCTGGGGCTCTGATCCCGTGCCTGAAGATCGCCTCAGTAACTTTGCAAAGCTGACCCACTTGGATGAGCCTAGGATTACTGACTTGGGATCCCTTATGTTACAAACTGTGGTTAATACTATACAGCCATTGGAGTCTTTTAGAGGCTTGAAGTGAAACTGGCCTAAATCATATATTCCTAATGCTCCCTGCAGAAAAATGTTTTTACACTATATTACAATTTATCTGATGTGATGAAATTGTATACATTCAGGACTCAGTTGTGATGCACATAAAAATAAACTATCACCTGTAATACAGAGACTGCTTGTAGAAGTTTATATCTAAAATGCATGGTGCCTGCACTGGTATTCTTCTCCATATCTTGTCGCAGAGATTTCACATCATCCCACGTACAAGATATCTGAAAAAAATATCGTCATTTTTTTCAATAAACAATTGTAAACATAAGACCTTTATATAATTTTTCATTTGAAAATTATCAACAATATGGTATATTGATATGTATAGTTTATTTTTACCTTCATCAGCCAGTGAAGATCTGCATTCACTGAAGGTCCAGAAAAATTTTCATCAACCTCAACAACAGGAAGTTGGTCATCTGAGGTCACCAATACTTTGTCACCATGATACAACAAACAGGCAAGATAGACACCCCTATAATATGAGGAAATCTTTACAAATGTGATAATTTGAAGGCAAAGCATAATAAATCATATCTTAAATAGAAATTTCTTCAGTAGGATGAATTTAAAATATTTTGTTTAATAAAAGAAGAAATTTTCATGCCTTTTCAAAGATTTGTAGAATTTTGGGGCAGAGGTAAACAGGTTTTTCAAACTTTTTCGTTTTCTTTGCAGTGGTGAATCGCCAACATTGTCTGTAATACAAGAAAACATTTCAGATACAACTATACGCACAAACTTTACACAGATGTTACAAGTATATTAATGTAAGCATACCTTTTAATTCTGAGGCATCAGCTGGCCGCAGGTGTTTTACTTGAGAGAAAAGTTCATCCAACAACTTTAGCTTTCCTTCTGTTCTGGAAACTGTTGAATTGTCCACATCTCTCCAGCCTAAAACAATTTTTCAAACACATTACAATACATTTTAAGAAAAACAATTCACTCTGAATTTTCTAATGAGAAAGTCAAGCTAGGGGAACAAATGTAACAGGGGAGACAACTCACTAGATGGAACAGCATAAGCTGGTTTGGCTACACTGTACTCGCTGTATCCTTTCATGTTACAGGCCGCTACCCTGACATAGTACTTGTTGCCCTTAACCAGACCCTTAATCTCATGTTCTAAGTGTCTCATGTCCTCCACAAGGTCTTCCCCAGCCAAAGGAATGAAGTCATCGAAGCAGCTCCACTCCACTGTAATAAACAGAATTTTCTACTCTAAACAAGATCCATGTAATTTATAAAACTGTTTTGTATTCACCCAATCAGCCTCTTTTCGAGCTGACTTTGTAAAATCTGCGCATTTGTAAAATAAAGAGTTTCTAACCACTCTGCAGTGTAAACAGTAATTACTTGTAATTGATGAAATTGTGTTTTGAGACCACAGAGATTGCAACTTTTCACGAAGGATTTAGATTGTGTTTACACATTGTATCAGACAATTGCTGAACCTACCCCAGAATGCAGGTAACAGTCATGTTTGTATCAAATTGTGGTAAATAAACTTCATGCTATTTTCTCAATTCAATTCCTACAGAGATTACACAATATTTTAATGACTAGAGTGCTCTACTTTATTTTCTGTGACCATGCGATCACTCACGTGAGAATATTGTTCCCATGGGTTGGTTGTTTATCAGTAATTTATCTTTTTTTTAAACCTAATTACTAGATAATTAAAACTAGAACATCTTTAGATTCCTTTAGAGGAATAATATCCATCCATAAGAGCTAGCGGATTTACATCAGTGTTCATTTATTGATAAACATGTTTACAATTGGCATTTACAGATAAATTTTTTTTCTTCAATTGATTTGTTTTAGAGATAAATCTTAAACAATGCTTTTAAAAATTCACAGTTAAGTTCCATAAAAATTTGTATCAGGTGCATTGTTAATTTGTTCACCATATGGCTGAAAAAATTCTGGCGATGCTAAAAAATTTACATCCTCAGACAGGGTAGCTTGCGATCTACGGTGTTTTCTAATTAACACATTCCGTTTTTTTTACAGATGGTATTTTACAGGGTTAAGATAAAATCAAAAATAAAGATCAACGTCTGCACTCATTACATTGTTTCTTAATCAACTTGGGTTTATTTTCAACACAAGAATGGTAAACAGTTCAATTAATGTAGAATTTTTCACATGATGGCATAAGCTAATTAATAAATGGTTACCTATGAAGAATATTTCAGGAAAGTCCCTATTAATTTTGATTTTTTATACAACAAACATATGTATATGTAAACAATGCATCTTATGGAAGAAAGTATGCATTACTAAAAAATAATACAAGCACTTTTTAAAGGACAAAATAATTTTGTTTAAATTTTTCTAACTGTGGAATATCGTGTCTGTCAATGAAAAAATTTGTACTTGAGTAAGAGTGAATAAAAAAACTTAAAGAAGTTTATTTTAAGTCTGCTGAATATTTTGTACTTGAATGAAAGTATCTGAAATTTCTAAATACATGTGCATGTGTGAAGCAAAGTTTTTTTCCCCATTAAAACCAAAAATATTTTACTACATTCCCAAGTACTGTACTATGCATCATATGAGTACACTTTTGGTAAGAAATGCTATAAAAGTTCAGCTATATACCTTTGTATCGAGTGACCACTGCCCCATTGTGATTGAGGGGTTCATCAAACTTGACCAATAAGGAGGAGCTACTGGCCACAGTCAGGCTCACATAACTGGGAGGGTCTGGGGTACCTGAAATCAAAAATAGGTGCTTATCAATAATGCTCCTTGCATACACTGAAAAACATCTTCAACTGATTTGTGCAAGCTTTTTAGGTAATACTTGACTACAGTGAGGGGCACAACTATATATTTTATCAGTCCATGTGAAATATGACACAGCTTTTTTTTGCATGGTCCTTTTACTTTAAATCATTCCATAATGGAAACTTACGTGCATGGTCATATCCAGCTTTCATTCTCTTTAAGAGTTTGTGTCGAAATTCCCAGTGACTTAATTGTTTTTCATTTTCCTGTAAATGAATAAGGAACAGAATTGCAATTCAAATCCATGTACAAAGTAGAACTTCCCTTCAAAAACCAACCAATACCATGCTTATAACACATATATTATGCTCCATTTTGGGAAAATAAAAGTACTAAGAGTAAAATTCAATGGTCATCCATTCCTACATGACCAGTAAGTCACCACTGGCTAAAAACATACTACTAATCCCTCTCTTGATGTAATCTATCAAAAACTTGGGCCCGTCCATAGCTGGGCTTCAAACAAGATTAACAGTAAATCCCTTTTTATGATTTACATCCAAATCCCCAAACAAAACATTCAATAAACACATTACATGGCTACAGTTGGTGTCAGGTTCACAGAAGACAAAGAAAGTCCTCTTGTCAAGAGTTTCACTTAGACCCTATTATACCCACAGAGCACCTTACGAAGATTTTATCATTTATGACTAATAGACAATTTCAAGCGTCAAAAGACAACTTGTAACTTTTTAAAATTCCTTTCCACTACCTATTTCTAAATTGGTTTTATATAAAGTCTGTATTGTTCTGTACTTAATACGTTGATCTCTTTGACATTTCAAGGATTTATCATAAGCAAGAACAACACCTGATTGATTCTTTTTGTTTAAAAACCTGACTTTAAATAAATTAAAATTATCATATATCTTATTGCAATGTTTCAAGTCAGATGAAATATCTTAATATTCTGTATATAAAATGATTATTTGTCAGTAAAATTTAACTGTAATTAAATTAAGGCACAAATAAATTTTGACAATGAAAGGATCAGACCTTCTGTTGCGTGTTGGAGCCACTTCCAGAGGAGGCATTTAGAATAGCCGCCGATAGATCCACCACCCTCTTCTCTGCATTGGACACTAGGGCATCTAACCGGTCTGATCGTGCCTCCTCCTGTAAAACTGAGACAGAACGTAAATTAAGTAACCTCATCATTGGCTGTGGTTTCAGAACAGTACCCAAACGTCTCTTGTTTAATGATTGTGATCTAGCTAAGTCAGTTCTGGGAGTGGGGAGAATTCAGCCTTTTTCTCTGACTAAATACCATTCCACTAAATTCCTCTATTGCTGATTATTGACAAACAAAACAATTGAAGTATGTGCCAAATTCATTTATCATTTTCATGAATCCATGTTACGCATCTGAGAACACTCAAGGACCCTTCAAGTATGCAGAGTCTTGTGAAATCTACCATAAGGATATCAAGGGCAATATATGAAGTAGTATCATCATTCCATGAGGGCAAAACAATGAGACATATAATTTAAGAATTGAACATTATGCAATACGGCCTTGATATTTTTCAAGAGATGTAATGCAAGAATCTGTGCTAAAAATTGGCACATATTTGAGGTGACCTTAGTTAACTTAACTCTACAAAAGATAATCTTGAGGAGACTTAGTAAGTGAAACAGGAGGTAGCAATGTGCCACCATGTACCACTTGTCTTAAGACAGTATAGCATCAAAAATAAAATTGATAAATCAATTAAGAGGTTTTTAAAATTAAACTTACACAATGGACTCTCTCTTGCCCCGTTAAAAAGCAGCATCTTAGCCATTGGAATATTGTTAGTCATCACTGCTACATCTAAGGGAGTCAATCCTTCAGAGTTAACACTGAAATGGACACACAGTAGATTTAAAAGTTATTCTCTCTAGGCTGCTGTTTTAACTTTCTCAGATGACACTTTACTTGAAAAGACATCCTTTGACCGGACTAGTTGACAACAGCTAGGTGACAGTTACAGCCAAAGACCATACCCAACTGGATAGTCCTACTGTCTTAATTTAAACTGGATAGTCCTACTGTCTTAATTTAAACATGCATTTTCAGGATCCATTCTGCAAATCTAATGCAACTACCATTTTAACCCATTGGTCAAACAAGCAAATTAACTCCACACAACTGATTCATGTTTTTCCCCCCATTTTTTATTGTATCCAGGCAGAGATAAATTCATTCTAATTAAAAAACAAAAATTCTCAATCAAGAAGAACATTGAGCTAGCTAGGTCCCAAAGATTTTGGTATAATATATACCATATGTATATTAATCTGTAAATTTATGAAATATGGAGTTAACAAACAGTATTCAAACTTTCATTTGATTTGATTAAGCTTTATTTTTAGATTAGGAAAATATATCAATGTTCAGTTGAATAATTTTGTTTTTTTTTTTCTCAATTTTATGTTAATGGGATAAATATCCAATATTTTACCATAGAACCCCCCCCCCCTTTTTCTTTTATTACAAGTCATAATTCAGAGAACGGTTTGATCTGACACTTTTACTTCCATTCTATATATATATGTTATCTAAAATTATTGATTTTTCTGCCGTAAATGTATATTTAGGAATCTTGAAACTTTTCAAAGATAAAAGTTATCCTAAGTTTACAATACAGTGTGTATTTGGCCTGTCAAACAGGGTATTACGGGGGCTTATTTATCAAATATCATTAAGGTTGTGCAACTTAGTAACAAACAACAATCAGGTGACATTATGTGCCACACCTCATTAAAAATACCTACGTTGTAAATTAAATGAGCACATTTTGATAGGAAATTCCTTATTAATTTGTCTTTCTCTGCCACCTACATTGTAAATTAAATGAGCACATTTTGATAGGAAATTCCCTATTAATTTGTCTCTTTGCCATTTCCTGAACTACATATTTTTTCCTTCTGCTCCATACCCATAGTCTACTTGGTCAAATTTTGATCAAGGATGAAAGAGGGAAAATTAGAATTAAAAAAAATGAATTCAAAATTTCAATCAGGAAATGTCAATCTAGGTCATGTGAAAATGTTTTAAAATCTCTGTCTGAATTCAAGGTCATATTGGATTTCTGCAATTTTTGATTCGATCATTTTGATATGTCATTAGTTGTTTTTCTTACCTGTTAATGTTGAGGCCATCCACTTCAAGGAGATTCTTCACCAGGTCCAGATCCTGTTGTTCTACAGCGTCAAACAAAGCTGGAAATACACATTTATATATACATAACATACAATTGTTACAAATCATATTTAAACTGTACAATACATGCGACATATTTTATTAAAAAAATAATAATAAAACATTTATTTTTTTTTTAACAGGTTTACATTTCCAAATTTTATTCAAAAAGAGCATTATGCTTTATCAAGCTTTAGAGTGAATAAAAAAAAATAACCTTACAAGTCCTTAAAACTCCTCTGGTACACTGAGGTACATGGACAAAAGAAACGATTATGTGTTTGTTGTGATGGTAATCATTGACGATTAGTAAATTAAGGAAAAATGACATATGTCTCTATTAATTAATCAGCGACCTGACACCAATAATCTTGATACAAATTAATTAATGTACATTATGCTCCTATCCAAAAGGACTATTAGCAACACTGCACATTACCATATAAATCAACCTAATGGCAGAAAGACCAGTAATTAATGTATTAATTAATACCATATAGTTTGAATTTTGTGTCTACATAAGGGCAATTTATGCATTGCTAAAACATGACTGGAATATGAAATGTACATTAATTTATTATTTCTAATATGCCTTAATGGCATGACCATAATTGTGGTACAAATATGTACTAGCACTGCTCTGTGTGCAAAGTAAATATAACAGCGGCATTTGAATTGGGCAAATTAAGAAATGGAACATGAAATTCCATTACGTCTTTAACAAGGAGGAAACGACGTCAATATTTTTCTGCCCATTATATTCATTTCATTTCCAAGAGTAATTATGTGTGGTTCAAACCATAGAAAGTGATTCAAAACATGATCGAGACAATGAAATATTCTATAAGACCTACCTTCTTATTAAATAGTCTACTCCATTACACGTCTTAATTAAACTTTCATTTACAAAAGATTTCCACATCAAAACAAGAAAATATCACCATAAGAATACAAAGGAAAAACAACAACACACACCTGTCCCCAAAAATTTTGAATTTACCACGAGACCAGGTGATTGGGCAACTATTGCTAATCTAATAATGCATGATTGGTCGTGATATTTGCCCTAGGCATTGTGTAACAAGAAAGTGTTAACACTCTGGTTTAGAACTAACATAAAATATATCAGTGTGTGACAAAAGAAAGGCTCTAAAACCATTGACAGCTTTTATCACCTCCATAAAAACAGATTTTGTCATATTTGTTTAAGAAATGACCAAAGGGATTAACAGGCTCTGATTATCAATGATAATCTCACCTTGGATAGGGGTGGACATGATTACAAGCCCTCCCTTCAAGGAAGGATAAAAATCCTCATCCAGATGATTAGAAAGATTAAATACCAGATTACAATGATGGTCGTTTTCGTTTTATTATTATTTTTTTAAAATCCTATATCATTTGTTTGGAGTAGCTATTTATAATTAAAACTGATATTGTTTCTTCAAAACATATCGCAACCAGAATAACTGTACTAAAAATCCACATAAATGTGATAGAAATACCCAAAGTATACAATTTAAATACAATTATGTCAAATTGAATGATAAATATATAGAATACATACCACTAGCATCTATAGGAGACTTCTTGTCCTTGTCAGATTTTCTCTTATCGTACATTTTATTTGGTGACAAACTATCAGGATCACTGTTTGAGGAATTACTGGTTGAACCCCTTTTCTTTGGTGTAGCTAAAATTAAAAAAAAAAAAAAATTAAAAGTTTTCAAGCAAATTTTTTGTTTTCAAATTCATATGGACTTATATCTTTAAACTTACTTATTTGTAAACGATACCTCATCCTTTTCGTTTTTGAAAGACTTGAAAAGACACTACTACTTTTGCCAAGGAATTTTCTTCGAAAATAATTTTAATCGCACCCATTAAAAGGCAGGTCTAATTGGATTAACATAGCTGAAATCACTGACACCAATCTAGCTGAACTAAGTTGTATAAAAAACACCGAAGCATAAATACATAATCATGGCTATGACTCAAAAAAAAAAAAAGAAAATAATTTTACGCACTTGTAAGTATCTTAGATGATCGATTTGGAGAACTGAGGCCATTCATGCTTCGCAATTGAACAGGTGCGGTGTTTGTATGGTGTAATCCGGGTGCATCGTCCACTAGAAGTCCCTCCGCATTTGACATAAATACTTTGATTGTTCTTCCATCTCCGCTGAAATAAAGAGACTTCATTGTAGAGACCAAATGTCAGACTGAAACGATGCACAGAACACTTCTGAAAAGCCAGAGTGCAGATTTGCGAGAAAAGTGCGCAAAACTTCAAAGGGATTCTCTAAATCTGACAGAACAGTGCTAATCCAAGACGTTCAGAATAACACCCTCAATGTGTGTGTCTGGTTGTAATTAAAAGTGCAAAACTGTTAGCATGCAATTTTTAGATAACCTTTTTATAATGAAAATTTCCCCCTCTGTGATACTTCTTAGCGGTGAAGCTTATCTTTTTCATATCAGAACACCCTGGTCCTCCCCGAATCATATCAAGATAATACATCACAAGAGGAAAGTTTGCCAGGAATATTTCAATAATTCTATCCAACACATTCAATAACAAGATATACTTACATCTATCATAGACTTATTAAATTCCTTTCTACATTTTGACAAGTGACAGTGAATATAAACATATATCTCCCTCCTTTGTATATATTCTTGTTTAGATGAAAACTTTTCATTTCACATGTAGGTATGATCGACTTTTAATATCATTTTGCTCTGGACAGGTAAGCCAGGCTGGAAGACTTTATTTATCTCTTGTCCCAAGAAAAGAACGTTATAAACGTTTATACAAGACGTGCTGAGACAGATCCTCATACACTGCTCGTAATATCAACAAATTTGAATATATCTTCCACATCGGCATTGTGCATGCAAAATAATGCCGTGGAATTTAACAAAGCTTTAATTCAACTCTAGCCATTAATCTTTAAATACTGATAAGGCTTCGAAGTTTAATTTATATTGCACCCGACTGAATGTTGTATCTGTCACCCTTTGAAAAACAAATCGTTCAACTGGCAGACTTAAAGAGAATTACCATGTAATATACAACATTAATTTATTAGGTTTTTACTTAGATTAGCTACCTAGGTGAAAGCAATAGTATCCTCCTTTAGCTGAGTTTTATTATAAATAAGACACATATATTTAATGAAAACTTATCTCTGTGAAGACAATACTAATAACAAGATTTTTTTTTTTAGTTATACACCTGCAATGAGAGAACACTGACCAGAGGTAAAAAGTAAATAATTTATATTTATGTATCAATTTATAACTATCACTTCATAATTCGTGGAAAATAAAATAAAGTCATCAATAGTCAAAGACAAAACTAGTACAAGTTCTTGAAAAAATGCAAAGTCATACAAACTGTCACTTTTTCATAAGTCACAGTTTGTCAATAAATTACCAAAGTAAATATAATTATAAAATACTTCTATGTAAATAGAGTGGAAAACTTAACAGAGAATTTAATCAACATTCCAATTTGCCACAGAATATGGAACACCCAATCATTCTATTTTTTGTACCACTTTGTGCAGGCTTAAGCTCATGATATTAAAGCAAAATATGAAGAATTAATTTTAAAAATATGTTCAAGAATTTTTTTCCTTACCTTGCTGGTGTATCAGACATATATTTTTCTTATCATAAACTTTGATATATACATTTACATTTTTTCTTAATGCAACTCATGAACAAAAAAGTTCAAATAATCAAACTGATGAATATTAGATTCAGAGTAGCACTATGCTACTTAAGCCTTAATCTTTTGATAAAAAGTATGAAAAACAAATTCTTTATGATTATGTTGAGCACTTAAAATCTCAAAAATCAACATAAATATATCATTTATAAACTAAAAGACACTTTTCATTCATTATTTGTATGTTTCAGTTTTTAAATTTTGATAGAACCTTGCATAACATATAGATTCAAGCACATTAACACTTGGCTAAACTTTATTAACTACTACAAAATGGGTGATGTAACAAAGAAAAGTAAATGCCTTCCATCTTAATTTTAAGTCCCTTTTGACTGATGACAATTTCCTATCTTACACCTAATTCTATCTAAATCCCACATTTTAAAAAAAAACACATTCTATCTTTAGTTTAGCTGCATTTGTACAAAGTCTCTCAGTTCATGCCTTGTCTTATTGTAGACTCACCAATCTAAGCTGACTGATCTCTGTCTCTCATGTAGCAAATCTTCCCGAATTTTATCCTTCTGACTAAGTCTTCTAGGGATTCTGTATAGAGAGGAACCTGGTCCTTCCAATCTGTACAAAAAAATTCAAAATTTGTTCAGTACCCTTCAAACGTCACACACAAGTGATTATTTATTTAGATGATTGTGGTGTGTTGTCTTCTATCAGAGGGGTTTCTATAAAATGGGACACAAGTCCCTTATAGTGCTTGCCATTATTTTCACCTGTATATACTTCTTGAAGTGTCAACAAGTCATGAAGAGTTGTTTGACATATTTTTTAACTTACCATTACTTTAACTAATTACCCCCTTCTTCAATGATTATCAAATATGTTCCCTTGGTCTCTCCTTTACATAAGTGAAAACTTGATTCAAGGTTAAGATAACTAAACATACTTGTGTTGGTGTTAAGATGTACCTCTGGGGTGATTATGGGCCAAAAAAAAAATACTGGAGCGCTAATCACTTTTTAATAGTATTTGATGTTTTTCACCACAAGAGCAACTACAGAGAACTACCAAGTAAAAGCTCTGCAATCAAGCATAACTGCACTGCAGAGTAACATCTATAAATGTCTAATTACAAATCAATGATGTGTGAAGAAGAACTTTAAGGCACCTGAGTAGATAATTTAAATCATGTTGTCAAGAAATATGTATGCTGCGACCAAAGGGGAGTAACTCTATAGACTGAATGCATATTTGATCTGAGAAACTTTGTCCATGTTTGAAAAGGAAACTTGAGATAAATATAATGAAATTAATCAGATCTCAATTCTGTTCTTATCACCAGAAATAAGCCAAATCACTTCTTTCCTATAAAATATTAATTACCTATATGTATGTTGACACTCCAAAGATTCAAACTCTAGTATATTTTTTTTTTGAATACCTTTTTAGAATTTGAAGGTGCTCTATAAAAATTTCTATAATGTCTCAAAAGAAGACTAATAAAAGCTTCAGATTTTCATCAGAGATGGGTTTCATTGAAATAATGAAAAAAACATTGCACATTCTCTTCTTACGAAGAAAATACGCCTCATTTTACCCATATAATTTTTTTTGGACATTTTTTTTTCTTTTCAAACCCAGGAAACAGAATGAAAAAAAGAGGAAATAGATTTCTTACCTCTTCTCATCTTGATTTCTGACCATATTCTGAAAATTAAAAATACTCCGCTTAGTGTGAAGCAAGTGCATTTTCTCCAGAAAATACTACAGAAAGTTAACATTTCTCATCACTAAAATACCATGGCCCTATACACTATCACTGACAAAACACACTTTATGCCTTAATGCTGATCCATCATCAGTTTACAGTGTCAATCACTTTATGAAATATGCCACAGAGTGCACCCCCAAAAAACCTGATGAAGTGCACAAAATAGGGACCTAATCCCCTTATGATCAGCACAGATTACAATGCTACAAGCAAATGCTGGTTTTGTAAACTCTTATGAACTTTTCTGATATTTTCTTTAGCATCTTTTGAGATGGTAAGCATTCTATTCCTGTCCTGACATTGTAATCTTTTAATTTCACTCTGTAAACATTTAGACATCAAGTCACCCACTTTATTTAGACAAGAATAAAAATCTGCAAGTAGATAATGCACTAAAGTTTATGTCGTAACAGTCATGCATTGGTGACTTAGTGTGGTCAAGGTTATTGTTGCTGACCACAATATAGGAGGACTTTGCCTCCTATAACAGGCATTTCCCCAACACTTAATAGTCTTGTGTAGGTTGTGAACATTAAACATTACCTCCATTGTGAAAAAAATGTCTTTTTAGCCCAAATACATCCTGTTTAGCAAAACAAAAATTCCATGTATTTGTAGAATTCCATACTGGTAAATGATTTTATAAAGATGTGTACATGTAAGAAGAAAAAATTGAGTTAAATGTTCAATTACATCACTGGATTATTCCATAGCTTAATATGTTGGTTTTTTTTGTTTTTGTTTTTGTTTTTGTATTGTTTTGTTTTTTTTTTTTTTGCCAGATATCTCTGCATGTTGCTATGTGGTGATACATAATGAACATAAATAAAATATATTCAAGTAATTGTTGATTTTTCAGTGAAAATATAATAATAAAAGAGACATACCAATATAGTCTAATTATTGGGATTACTATTACAGTTTATCAATATCTTTCTCTTCTAAGTGTAATGATTGATGTACATAATAATTACTTTGAATCAAAATGTTTATGCCACATTTAACCTAGAATCTACCAGAAAATTTTTACAAGCATATTGATTTTATGACACCTGTGTATATATTGTGACTGTTCTTCGTGATTCATCTATGTCTATGAAGGATCTCTCATAATAAGAGCAAACAAAACCCTGAACTCCTTAGTCCCCCCTCCCTCTTCTCTTTTTCCACAATGCAAAAGACAGACCTGTGTCTTAAATTTTAAAAGAAGTTAAGTGCTCTGCAGCATAATATTTCTTCCTCATCAGTATCAGTGTTTTCTTCCCTATAAGAACCGGCTTAACCGACAATATTGACCACTTCAATGGATATAAATGCCACTTAGAAATCAAAATTAAAAACATAAATGTTATAAGGTCTACAGAGATTTTATTCATAAACCTCAAACCCTTTACTTTGAAACAAAAGGAAAACCCTGAGTATGCCCTGTGTATACTTACTGCCTTCGGTGGTGTGGTATAGTAGAGCTGGGAGGATTTAGGAGTTACAGAGCCATCGTCTGACACACTGGTCATAGTCTCTGACGACGTGGTGGAATCCGTGTCATCGTCAAAGTTCCACGCAGAGCCTACAATCAAAACAAATGTTTCAAGGTTTTTACTCCTGTTATTATATTTTTTTTCGAATGCTTTCAAATCTACTACATAAATATTGCTGCAGTTGAAATCTGAGTTCTCTCCTATTTGCCACTAGCTATTTACAATATGATACACACATTTTATTACGACCAATCCACTTTGAAAATGTGCAAAATACAGGACCTAAGTCCATCAAATAAAATTTCATACATTTAAGTTTACTTGAACCCAGTGAATCCTTTTGAACTTAAGCTATAAAGTCAGCACTCTATATTTTATAAACATTTTAAACCCCTTTTATTATGGACATAAAGAACATGCAAACTTGACCAACCGCTCCTCTTTTAATAAAAGAAGTTAAATATCACCTTCAATTGAAAATATTAATGCCAAACCCTCAAATGAGAGATCTATTTTTTTTTAATAATCATCAATACTAGTGCAAATGTTACCAATAAATAATAACTGGAATCAATCAACTGGAGGTGTTCCTATGGGAATAGCAACATGACAATGCAATTTTTTCAAATCTCACCTCTCCAAATGACACTATTAATCTCCCGAATCCATATGTCTTACCAAAGTAAACAACATCTTAACAGATGTAATTTGCAATCTTCAATAAAACGCGATAGACTAAAAGTACTGCCACGCGCCAGGCCTGGTATGTGCCAAATCTGTCAATCATACACCTATGCAAGACATATCAAGCTCTCTTGGCAAATATGGAAAAGACAGTGCCTCTATTCCTAACCTTTATTTTATAAACAAAGAATGGATCTTATTTAACCAAATATTCATTTTCTTGAAACGCTTTTGCTCTAAATATCCAAAAATATTAAAATTAATTAATCAAAGTGTACAAAATATATATGTCACATAATCTAAAGTATATAAATGTATTAATTTAATTAATTTGGTTTCATAAAAGTATTGCTAAAAGTTAAGGCCTTATTCTAATCAAATCTCTAACAATATTGATGAATTTTTCTGGGCACTGCTAATACGATTATCATGAAGTTGAATGACTTGGATTTGGCCCTAATTGATTTGTCTATCAGTACAGTGTATATTGTAAGAGTACTGGGAACCTAGCAAGAGAAGTATTTCAATAAATGAGGAAAAACGGATCTAACTTGTGACACATTGAGACCATTGTGTGCAAATAATGACACAGAAATAGCTGCAGAGTCACTATGACAAAAAATCTTAAACAATGTAATGTCATCACCAAAGGGTGAATGACCTTCAGGATCCAAAGTTACAGTAAGTCCTCAGTATCAACTAAGAAATGTCCCAATATACGACTTATACCCAAGCAGAGCAACAAGAAATAGGGCTCACTTTAAATAGCTTAAAAATGCCATCTTAATTTGTGGGGGGAAAAAATTATGCTGCAAATTCCCATGACCTGAATCTTGTGGAAATGTAATAAGTGGATGAAGAATGTAAAACCTCTAGTCGGTTGCGTTGAATACAAAAATTCATCCACAGTCCAAGCATCAAAATGTCATGGCCCAAAAAAAATTCACTTCCCTGAGTCGCATGATCATCACATTATGCACACGCCTACATGGCAGAGAATCAGGGCATATTTCTGATTATAAAAACCTGTATGCCAAGTATAACCTATTGATACTCTTCCAATAAAAGTTTGGTCCTCAAGAATTTTACTTTTCTGAACTCTATGACCTTGACCTTGTCTTAACAACCTTTGGTCTGGGTCATATCATATCCTGTGATCATAATCAACCCTTAGGGTAATAGATCTTTGGAAGTTAGTTCATCATTATAAAGTTATGTTGTCAACAACTATTTTCACTTCCAACCCAGTGACCTTGACCTTGTCTGAAGGTTGTTATACACCTCAAGTAGCAATTACAGCATCCTTCATGTCTAGTATAATCCTCTAATGTTTTTATCCACTTAAAGGTTATGGATATGGCAAGAATTTTTCATTTCCAAAACCTGTAACCTTGTCCAAATTACCCTCGGCTAGGGTCAGGATATACTTTTGAGTCACAAAAACCTTTGCCTCAGGCTTAAGCTTCTACTGATTTTTCATTCTCAAAGATGTGGTTATCTCTGTAATCTAATACCCTGTAACCTTGACCTTATCTGAAATGACCTTGTACTTAGTCAATTGCAAGGCACATTTCTGGACACAATCTAACTTTATATAAGATACGAGCTCTGAAGTTTTTCCCATTACAAAGTTATGCCAAACAGGAAATCCACTCCTTTTATTCCTATCAAAGAAGCTATGAAAAATGAAATCTTCAAGTCATTTTTTTTTAAATTTGACAAATCAAGTGCACAAGTTCAAATGATATATATTAATTCTACAAAGTTTGAGAAACTAGATGTGTCGTAACGCCATGAATGCCCTTGCAGGCAGCCAAAATTTCAAATTGCAAATTGTAAATTGCACATTTGTAGCTGAGATAATGACTAGAAATTGTGAATTTTAAAATCTTTTCCAAGTTCAAGGGAGATAACTGACAAAAATCATCAGAACCTGACTTGCAGATGTAGTTGTTTGTACATAACAAATACCTTATTTAACAAAATCTTGTAATTTTCATTGAAAAAAAAAATGTGTTGATCGAAAAACGTTTTTTTTTTAAACTCAATATTTCACATTCTAGGCCCCAGGGAGGTAGAGACCATATGAAACTTTTGTTACCCTTTACCCACAGATGCTAAATACCAAAAGTTGGGTTGAAATTGGTTTCACTGTTCAAGAGAAGAGGCAAAAGTTTAAAATTTGTAAGAACAACACACAACACATTGCAATACAACAAAGCAATATTCCATGTTATAGAAATGTTTATTGCTGCAGTACAATAATGTTGATAATGAAAAATTTTTAGGGTTCAAAAAATTCTAATTCTTTTAATAGCTGGACAATCCAATCTTCAGATTCTATATCAATTGGTTTAAAAATCTTGGATTCAATTAATAAAGTTATATTCAAATAGTGGAATCAAAGAAAATTCCTGAGAAAAGATTGATTTAACATTCCCACCATTTTATCTATTCAACTTTTTAAGACACCAACATAAACTTCCAAATTCCATTTGTAACACTAATAATATTTTATCAAAATATTTGTTATTAGACAGGTTCCAATGATTTAACAGGTTAATAAACATTTGCATATAATTGCAATATATACCATTCACCACTGACTAAACAATTCTTCTCATTTCTCAATTATCATTTGTAAATATCTAAAATATAAATTTTGAAATAAAAGCCCCATTTCTTTCTGAATTTTGTCATCAAATCTGTTAACCTCAGTTCTTAAATAGTAATGCCTCCTGTTTAAATTATCAAACAAGATTGAGAATGTAAATCGTGTTGATGGCTGTTCGGTAAAGATATTTTGATCAGGCTTAAAGCACTTTATAACATAAAGTTTCACATTCCATTCATTTTGGAAATCTAGTAGCTTAACCTTCACAAGGGTTTGTCAATTGAGTTTTCTTGTGGCATCATTAGATAATTGGTTTGTATTACAATTTATTTTTGTGCTTTACTTAAATTACATACTCAGTTTTCTTTAAAAGACGTTATGAAAAGGCTTAGAATACACACATCACAGAGTGCCAAACCACTTCCATTTCTATCAAATGTAGGCCTTGATGTATAGAACTGTCAACCTCGATAAAACTTCAATGCTCATCAATGCTTGTGTATATATATAGAGAGAGAGAGAAAGAGAGAGAGACTAATTTGCCTATGTGCAATGTTATTAAGTGTTGAAATTATTATGTTTGGCATTCTTACATATAGCAAATTTAACATACAGTCTTCCTAAGTCCAATTGTGATTCTGAAAATCACAAAATCACAGTGTTTGTTAGGCCTGTGAAATACCAAACAGTATACAGACTCTTAGAAAAGGGGTTGGTGTATGTGTCTCGGTATGTAACATAGGTTTGTTTAACCCCCCTGAAAAATGATGTTAAGAGACAGCATTTAAACTTTTTTTCTACAACAAAAACATCTTATCCCACCACCATCAAATAAAAAAATAAACAAGGGCAGTAAAGAATTGACGAAATTATTAACAGTAAAATGAACTGAAGCAATCAAATTTTTTGCAGCAAGATTAAAAAATCACCACAGTTTACATCATTCAAGCACAGCTGCATCTGCATGCATTTTACAAAGCACTGCATAAATGTATTTGTAAAAGTGAGGAAAGGGGGGGGGGGGTTAAATTCTTTTTTTCCAACAATATAAATCCCTGCTGATGAATTAACACCATAAGGAACTAAAAATCTGCTCTCTATATTTGTATATAAATTAATAAACAATTAAACCTCATTCTCGAACTAGATGGGACTGAAAAAACTTCAAGATATTCGAGTATTATTTCTTAAAGAATAAGTGGTTGGGACTTCCTGTTCACTTTGACATATCCATGGTATTCGAGATATACCTAAGGTCAACTGTATAATAAAATGGACTAAGTACCAACATACACTCTATATATTTAATATGACAATAGGTAACATTAATCAGTTCTACCAATCTTAAATCATTTTTACTATGATATGGACATAGATTTTACGAGATTGTGGGAGAATCTTCGAGAGAAAAACAAGGAGAATAATGTCTGTATGAAAATAATTTTACTTCTATCTGCACAGAAGAAAATTATACCTTATAATTCATTTTTTATATATATTTAACTCAATGTACTTCTAATTACATAGTAGCCTTTAGAATATTGCACATATTTCTTCTCAAATAAAATTTTCTCATTTGTTGATAATATGACTGCATGAGAGCTTATTTTCTGCTTCGTTGCAAACCTACTCTTAACAGTTACACAGCATTAATGAATATACTTGAAATAATGCATAGTAAAATAGATTGTAATATTTTGAACCCTGTTTCAACACTGACCTACAATTAAGAGTTAGTATTTCACATCAACATTGTACACAAGAAAGGTTTAGATATTCACACAAGGATCA